TTTGGCTTCTTCTGGAATCTCTCCAGCAGCTCCATGTCCTTATGTTGGGGCTCCAGAGCTAGGCACAGCCCTGCAGGTGGGGGCTCCCCAACCCATGCAAGGTTTTGGACATCCATCCAAAACTGAAGAGGCAAAAAGCCAAGAAGTCATTTCACTGCAAAATGAAGCTGAGCTCTTTCTCATTTTAAAAATAACGGGATTTGTGAGAGAAGCAGTGAGCAGCTCCCAAGTGAGGTCAGGCACAAGCACAGAAATCCCTGTGAAGTCTCAGTTACTCCAGTTAATACCAGACAAGTCTCTTGCTGCAGATTAGTGTGCAACGGACACTGACATGGTTGGCTCTCCTTCATCTTGCTCTTGCTGCCTTGAAGAAAGTTGTAGGAGCTGGAGTTTGCAAAGATTCCCAGGTGTGGTAGAGGCACTGTCAGCTTTGCATGGTTTCCTGAGGTTCTTCTCCTCCCTCCATGCCAAGCTGTGCTGGTACAGGGCCAGGGAAGATGCTGCTTTCTCTAAAACTGGCACTGAATGCTGGCTAAGTGCAACAGGTTTTGTTCTAATTAAAGAGGAATCAATTAGGCTGCAAGATATTCAGCCACCTGGTGCTTCTGACTATTTTTTCCTCCTCCTTCTCTTTTTCCTTAACATGCTGCTGCTGCTTCCAGGGAAGCCATGAATGAAGCAAGACATGTTCCAGTTCCTTGCTTTCCTTTAGATTAAAAAATGCTGTATGGGAGGAAATCTGTGCAAGCCAGCCAATTACAGGGCTGTACATGTCCCTGTGATCTGCAACCGGCATCTCCTCTGTCATCCATTACTCCCTCCAGCCTACCCTCCTGTGTCTCCATCAGCACATGGCACTGACTCTGTCAGTAGTCAGTTTGTGCTGCAAGAAAAAAAATGATCTGCAGCAATTAAAGAAAAAGCAGTGAAAGAGTGTAATGGGATCTCATGGGAGGCACAAAGGAGCCCTACATGCAAGGAAATCCTTCAGAGATGCAGCTGTGCCAGGCTTTTCCCTGTGAGATGGCCCATTAGAATCTATCTGTGCTCAATAGCACATAAATCAAGAGGAGCAGAGAGCAGTGGCTGCTGCCTTGGGCAGCAACTTGCCCTGGAGTTTGTTGAGCACTAAGCTTCAAGGAAAAGGTGGGGTCAGCAGGTACCTCAAGCAACACAGGTAAAAATCAGGCACTGGAGTGGTGATAAGTGGCAAGGGAGTAGTGGTGGAGACCTCTGTCCAGGGTGCATGTGATGATTTTATCCTCAGGCCAATACTTTCATCACTCATGGCTCTGCCTCAGGGATGGATTGTGAAATCCTTTTGATTTGTCTGAGCACATGATAAAGCCCTGTTACAGATAAATCAGATTTAATATTAAATGTGAAAGGGCAAAAAGGGGAGCCTGGGCCTGGATGGTGATGTAAAGGTCACAGAAGGGAGTATTAATGCCATGTCAACTGACGTGTACCAGGAAGATCTTTGAATTCTGGCTTAAGGAAGGATTCATTAATTCAACTGATTGACTCTCTGGAAACCAGTTAGATATGCTAAAAGCAGTGGAAAGGAACCTCACTAGTCCCCCTCCAAGAACAAGCTGAGTGGCTCACAGTCTGTGTAGGGTCCCTATCTGACCTCCTGCAGCAATGCTTTGGCCACCACCTGAGTCAACACCTTGGTAAGGGAGACAAGTCTGGAGCCATGCCAAAGAGAGACCAACATCTGAAGCATGATTTGAGCGGCCAGTCTTCCCACAGCTCCTTTCCAAGCTGAAGGAGCCCCTGGCCATCATGACACTGGGAGGGAGGAGCCCAAGGAGCCCACTCCAGGGGAGATTTGGCCACATATGCTCTGATGGCTCTAAAACCACATGAAAAGAACCCCTGAGCATCCAAGAATTCAAAGTGAAGGCCGTCCACATAGCATGTCCAGCCATAAGGTGGCTGAGCCACAGTCTGCCTTCTGCCTTTTTTCAAGGATACTTTTTGTACCAGACAGAATAAAACCATGCTGCTTCCCACCACTGCAGCTACTGTGGGAGTCAGTGTGCTGCCTCCTTCTGCTGCAGATGTGTCTTTCATTGCTGGGCTCCACTGCAGCTTTGAGCCATGGCACCATACTGTCCATTCCTGGAGTACATTGATGCCTGAGGAGCATGAGTATCACATAGACAGAGGTGTCAGGAGTCTCCCTTCCCCTCTGATCCTCACTGAGAGCTCTCAGGATGAGTAATCCCTGCTTGATGTCTTGAGACCACAGACATGGCAGCTGCTGGGGCTGTACCAAAGCTCAGGTTCACTCCTTTGCTGAGCAGCAAGGCAAAAGTTTGTGCAATTCCCTAGATAGCTCTGCTGCTTCCTCAGCTGGGAACCTGTTTGCTGGGAGCAATAGAGAGCAAAGCAGGAGGAGAAGTCCCTTTCCGGGAAGCAGCTCTGGCACCCATACCAAGGCTGCAGGCTCAGAATGGGGCAGCATCCCCCATGCATTACCTGCTCCATGTTTATAGCTACCATAAAAATCCATTGGAAGAAAATAAAGCATTTTTTCCCTTCTAGGGGAACTGATGGTCGGGAGTTAGAAAGATTTTCTATGTCAGTTCCCAGCTGTACATCTGCAGTCAGACTGGAGAAAGTGCAACACTTGGAAGGACATGGGAACCAGCTCAGCCCAGTTCCTCACTTCACATATGATGAGCCTGGAGTGTTTGATGTGTGCTTCTGCAAGGAGGCCAAACCCTAACTGCACCTCTTACCAGCAGAGTGAGAGCACAGCTTGGCCCTGAGGCAGAGGGGATCAAACACCAGCACGCCAGGTGATAAACCACCACCCCCAGGGCTGTCTTACCTTAGAAACCACCATCAGCTGACTAAGAAGTACAAATCTCTCATGTAGGAACAGGCTGTCTGCAAGAGCAAGAAGTGATATTTTAGAGTGTCTAATAAAGGAGTTTAAAATGAAACTCTGCAGAACAATAGTCTGAGCTAAGAACTGGCATCCAAGCAGAAAGTCAGGTGGGGGAGCTGTGCCACAATTTATCTCCTCTCTTTTCATTTCATAAGAAGCAAATCAAAACACCTGAGGCATCTCCAGCTGACACAGGAGGTTTAGTGAATACTGCCATCCTGCGGGGAAGCCTCTGCTCAGCCTGGGGAAAGTGGGAGATTTGGTGCAGCCCCCAAAGAAGCAGGTGAGCAGGATGAGGCCCAGCATCCAAGAGCAAGTAATGGAGCTTTCTCCACCCTCCACCATAATCAGCCAGGCAGCCAAGCTGGTTATCAGCTCCTTATCTTGACCACAAATTGACTCGTTTTTCCATGACTTCAATCTCCAGAGGCTGCAGGAGCTTCTCTCATTGCCAAGCAGATGCCATGGCTGTGTTAATGCTGGGACTTCACCAGCTGGAGGTTTCCTGGTCTCCCAGCCCGTTCCTATGGAAACAGATTGGGAGTCTGCCAATTTTCCATAAAGAAAGAGAAAGGAGAATGAGCTTGTATGGATGGATGAAGTGCCTGTTTGTCAGGTTTAGAGTGTTGCAATTCTTAAGGATACATGACCCAACAATGCCAGCAACACATGATTTCATGAGCAGCCCATGTCACATCAAGGTGGCAGACAGTAGTGCAGAACCTTCCCATTCCATCTTGACAGCAGCCAAGATGAATCACATCCACTGAGCCAAGAGAAAAGTTTGCTAGTGATCACCAGCAATTAAAACAGAGTAGAAAAAAGAGAAAAATAACAGATCAAGGAGTCGAGAGTTGTGTACTCTGTGTGTTGTGCAATCATTTGTTGTTCAGTGAAGTGGATGGGAGACACTGCTTACGTGACCTCCATGTTTGATGGTCTGCTATGAGCCTCATCCCAGACAGGAGTCATTGTGCTCCTAGACCCTCCTAGGAGCAAAGATGGAACTTCACTGAGTGTGCAGTGTTCTTTTTTAGGCAAGGAATTTCTCTATTACAGAAAAAAAAAACCACACCAAAATTACACTATGACACACAAGCCCCAAAATCTCTAAATCCAGAAATCATCTGGAAAAAAAACCAACCAAACCCTGAAAAATCCACAACCTTCACTGAACATGAGTAGCAGCTGAGCCTGGCAATTCTGGGTTCTGACTGACCATTTCTGCACCCTGCCAGTACTCCAGGTTCATTGAAATGCCTTTGGAAAGCTGCAAGGAAGAGCCACAGAGGGAATATGATCCCTACAGCTACCAATCCACTGGGAGACACAGACCTGTGGGTGAGAGGGTGCTCTGAGGAGCTTGTTGTTTTATGTTTTGCACATTCATGGATGAATGTAGGCAGATGGACCCCAAAATTTCATCCAGAACCCATGCCTGTCCCTCCTGGCTCCCTCCACATCCACCACTCTGGCAGAAGGAGGTCTGGGGAACTCCCAGATGATGGTCCTGTATGTGATAATTGCTCACCGGTTGTACCAGAGCAGCAGAATTAGAGAATTGCGTATTTGTTGAGATTGGAAAAGTCCCCTAAAATCACTGATTCCAGCTATTGATTCTGCATCACTGCCAAGGCCGTTAATGCATATCCTCAAGTGTCACATCCAGTCCATTTTTGGACACTTCCAGGGATGATGACTTCACCAATTCCATGGGTAGCCTCTTCCAGTGCCTGATCACCCCTTCCATGAAGAAAAATCCCCTAACATCCAATCTAAACCTGCCCTTGCACAACCTGAGGCCACTTCCTCATTTGGCACCTGGAGCAATAACTCAACCCCCATGGCTGGTCCATACAGGCATCTAATAGCTCGGCTCCCAAGTCTTTTGGTTACGATCCATACCCACAAGTATAAATACCACAGTGCCCACTGCCCAACAGGTGCTGCTCCAAGCCACTGGCAGCCTCCAAGCTGTACGAACCTGGCACCTGCTCAGATCCCCGTGCCAGACAGTAAATGACATACGGCTATTGACGCGCTCAGTGGAGCGGCAGTCATGAACAATCTGTTCTCTGACAGTAGTTTTATAACTCACACGATCTGGATGGTGTTTGCCCGGGAAAGGGAGGATCCACTGGCAGCAGGGGCTGTGGCTGGTCTGGGATTCGGGAGAGAACATCTCCATTTGCCTGGGAAGAATCTCCGACAGGGTGGGATGTGACTTGCTGCAGCTCTGGCACTGAAATAATGGATTAAAACGGGGGTGAGGGGAGTCACAAAGGAAGTGGGAAGCCTGTGGAAAAAGAGGAGCCCGGCTGCGGGAGACGATGGTGAGGGGCATTAGGGGGCCCTCCAGGGGAGAAGGGGGGCCCCAGAGGACACAGCTGAGCCACATCATATATACACAGCCCATAGGAAATGGGTGCCCCACGGGTCATGGGGGCCCAAGGAGTAGGGGAGAAGCCCCCTAGTCCTGAGGACACCGTAGCATGGCGGGGCCCTGGGGGGACATGAGGCGACGAGCAAGGGCGCACGAGCGAGCCCAGGAAACTGGGGGAAACGCTCTCTGAGACGCATGGGCAGTAGCGCCTATGCGCACCACCGCCTCAGACGACCTCTCCCGGTGAGGCGGGTGATGCCCCGGGACACAGTGGAAGTGCCGCTGCCTTTCAGCCGGGTGATTGGGCGGTTATGCCGCCTCTCCCGCAGCGCAGAGGGGGAGCCGAACCCCGCCGGGTCCACGGGGCCATTCGCTGCCCGTTCCAAACATGGCCGCCGCGCTTTGCCCTGAGGAAAGATGGCTGCCGCACAGCGCGCTGCGCATGCGCATGAGGGTCGTATGCATCATCAGCCTGCGCCGGCAGCGGCAAGGTAAAGGGGCGCAAGGAGGGGGCGGTCTGGGTTCGCACTTCCACGGGTCTTCGTGGGTCCCTCTAGGCCCGCGTCTGTTGCAGCGGCCGCCGGACGTGGTGACGCGGCGGGCCCAGGCCGCATAAGTCGTGGTGCGGCCTCCAACACGGGCAACCCCGTGGGCCTACGGAATGTGGCGTGGCCGCGTCCTGGTTCCCCAAGGTCCCTGTCGGGGCTGGGTTCCATAGGGCGGAACGCGTAGAATAAAAGCCTCGACTCCTGGCTTTCGGTGCTTGCCGCACTGTATCCCAGCCCGTCCTCCCGTAGAGTGCCCTCCAGGTTCGGGGCCTAGTCCGGCCGAGCCCCTCGTGCTCGCGGTGCGCCGTCACTCCTGCCGTGGTCCCTAGGTCTCCTTCGGGGGTGTAGCTGAAGGTGACAGGTGTTCCCGCAGCCCCTCCCTAAGCCGGGAGAGCAGCCACTCTTCTCGTCCGGACCAGGACCCCGTCCCGACGGCAACTCGTGAGCATCATCACAACCGGGGGAAGGAGCTACCCTACTGGGTTCGCTTTCCTTCCCCAGGTTCCGCCGCTGGTAAGGAGCCTGATTATTGCTCCCAAAGCCGAGAGCCTGTCTGGGAAAGCCCAAAATCCCCCAGCCCCGCTGCGAGCTCCTTGGGCGGGGCGGAGCGGCTGCTGCGGGAAACGAAACTGAAACGGTGCTCGCAGCCATCTTTGGCAGCTGCTCGATACCGCTCCGCCGGGACTCATTCTGCGGGTCCGCGTTTCTTTTTTCCTTGTTATTTTCTCATAAAATAATTTGGCGTACGGATGAGACTGAGGTAAGCGGTTTTTTTCAAACCCCTCTTCCTGTTTCTGCCCTGCCCTTGGCTCAAGGGACCACTTGTAAAGCGGGGTCACTGAGCAGAGGGGCAGTAATGGGACTCCCTCGTAGCTAGGGAAAAGTGGGAACCTGTCGCACCGCACTCAGCCTCCCCATGTTTATTGTAAAAATAAGTCCCGGTGATGGCAGCCGAGTGCGGTTGTTTAATGAAAGTGAAATTTAAGTTGCTCTTAAGGTATTTGGTGAAGATGGGGAAGTTTATAAAGATCAGACTTGGATCGGAAAAACTATCTTTGTGACGATAGGTGCTTTAAGGAGGTCACAGAGGAGCAGGCAGAATGGGAACCCGGCAGTGTGTATCATGTTCCGTGTCTATCCTCTCAGTTTCGCAGCAAGTGTTATCAGAAAATTGGAATGTACTGGGCTGGACTGGACTTTTAAAAAGGATATAATAGCTTAGTCTTACGTCCTGTACCCCGGGGGGCGGGCAGCACGACTTTGTGTGATAAATTAAAATTTGGGCTACAATTGAAAAAAACCTTGTCATATTATTGCCAGCTGCACACCTATCCAATTTCTCTGCATGTTATAGCTTTCATTCCCCTCTTGTGTGATGTTTTACCTCTCCAGATCACATAGTGACCAGGGAGGAAAAGACACCTGGCTTTTCAGACTGTTTTGGCCATGAATGTGAAAATAATTGCAAGCCTGTTGCAGCCCTGTTCTGTGTGACCGTGCAAGCTGCTCCAGCTCCTTGTGCTGCTCCAGCTCACTTTCTTGTGCTCCTTTACCTCCTCATGCCCCCATTTCTCAGGTTGCAAAGTAGGTCTGAGATTCTCTCCCTCAGGGCAGGGGAGTGGAGTTGCTGTGTTTGAGGAGTGCATCCTGAATAAGCCACCAGCCCTGTGCTGGAAGCAAGCCCAAGAGGAGCAGAGGGCTGTTCGTGTCAAAGCTGCTTCTTGTGTTTGACTTCACCTGCAATTTGGGGGTGCTGGTTCTGTGCTGGGCAGCCAGAGTTTGCTGTTTGTATTTACAGGGCTAATTTAGACTCCTAGGAAAGTCGAAAAAAAAATCACAAGGGAGAAGATGCTTGGAATGCCTCAGTAGCTGGGAAGCTGTTTAAACTGCATTTCTGGAATCTTGTAGTTGGGTAAAGACATTCTGAGTTCTGTGTTTTTTCTCTTCAGGGCAGGAGAGTGTGGAGTGAGTGGCAGCTCCTCTCCTGGCTCATCAGCAGCCTGGTTCCCACGTGTGTCCCAGGACTGCGCTATGATCAGAGGCACTGGGCGAGGCAGAGGCTCTTATCTTACCCAGTCAAGACGTAACTGCCCAAGCACTAACCGAGGTCTTTTTAACCACCCTTGTACCCCACAAGAAACTAATCAGGAAACCTTTTTATGCCAGCAGTTCCTAACAGAGCAGGACACTGAAGTCTCTGTGTTGCAGGGACAGGGATCACACAAGGAGTCGTGCACCAGAGGCAGGCGAGCTGTGGCACCGGCTCCTGCAGACAGATGTCAGCCCAGTTCTGGCAGGACTGGAGGGCATAGGTTCTCCAGCCAGCAAACGCGTGGTGAGACTTTGTCTCGGTATTGCCCTCCACAGTACCATCATCAGAACTCAAGGAGAGATTCTGACACTGTGAGACTGAATTTCCAAAGACTGTCTCTTGCTGGGCAAGACTATGGACAAGAAATTCTAAGTGTTTTCAGGCAGCTTGGGGAGGGGAGGACTTGCACGGCTAATGATCTGGCACGTAAACTTAAAACTCCAAAGAAAGAGGTCAACCGTGTTTTGTATAAACTCCTCAGAGAAGGCAGGTTGCACAAGGAGGGAGAGACACCACCACTGTGGAGAATTGCCAGCCATAGCTCAGGGAGAGAAAGAAGCCCTACTGACCACCGTGCTAGTTACACAGATCCAGCTTGTGAGAGCAGAAGAGGAGAGTGGAACACACTTAGCTCAGCAGACACAGAGATGGCTGAGACAAAGGAGAAAATCTGCAACTACTTGTTCAGTGTGGTGGAAACAACAGCACTCAATCTTGCCAAAAACATTGGGTTTTCAAGAGCCAAGGATGTTAATGCATTTCTTACCGCTCTGGAAAAGCTGGGAGATGTCCACAAGCAGAATGCAACTCCACCACGATGGTCCCTGACAAATAGGAAACGTGAGAGGATGCAGATGAGGCTGAAGGCCAGCACAGTAATGCAGATGGCAGATCCCACATCTCCTGAGTCAGGTCTTCCCTCTTCCTTTGTCCCTTCATGTCCCCCGGAGATGACTTCAGCTTCGCCAGCAGTGATGGCATCAGAAGAAGAAAGTGTCGAAAATGGGCAGCAGCCTTTGGGGCATGCTGGTCAGGGCAACGTTGGTGACACAGAAGCAGATGCATCGGAGGACACTAAGCCTGAATTCTCCAGTTTGAGTAATTATGATAACTCAGAAAACAGCAAGTGGACCACAGATGATATCCCAGATAATCTGAACGCTATCAGCAAGCAGCCTGATAAGTCAGAACACATAATGAATTCTCAGTCTTCCCCAAGTTATGCTGCCCCATTCAAAACTGCTTTCCCATGTGTAGAGAAACTGATAGCTTGTCAGGAGAAGAACCCAGTAAGTGGCCTTACTGAATATTCCCAGTATACATACCAACACTGTGATTTCATCATGCTGGAGCAGAATGGACCCTCTCATGAGCCACGGTAAGAAAATGTCCTACCTTTTCTGAGCTCTTTTTCCATAAAATGATTTGACTTTAACTAAGTTCTCCCACTCAACTGTCCTGAAGGGGCTTGCTATTAATGTTTCTTTGTAGTGGGTTTAGGGCTGGCTAAAATCATTAGTGCACCTACTGGAAGTATCTACTCATTTCCTGCTGTGAGATATGAATTAGGAGCAGGCTCAAAACTTAAAAGGTATAAAGAAAACTTTATTAACAGAACTAAAAGAATAATAAAAATCAGAATAAAACCTTCAGAACACTTCTTCCCTCCCACAACTTCTTTTCTTTCCCTCTGGCAACACAGAGACAAAACCTGGGATTTTTTAATCAGTTATAATAGTCTTTCATTCGTTCTTGTAAAGAGAGGAATCTCTCTCATCATGCCATGGCAACTTCTTCACAAGAAACAGTTCTCTTGTGGCTTCAGTGTCACAGTGAATCAGCTGCCCGAGAAATGAAAAATTTATTCACAGTGTGAAAGTCCCTCCCATGCCTTGCAGCTTTCCCAAAGCTGCTTTCCTGGGTTATGTCAACTTATGGGGTACTATTTTAAGAATGAACTGTTCTAGCATAAAAAACTAGAAGTTCTCTTCTTTTATCTCGGGGGACAGAGGCTTTTCTTCTTCTATCCCTGGGGCAAAGTTTCTCATCTCTCTCTGTTCAGCCTTCTCACTGGATTACAGCTTTTCAGCATCCACACGCTCCAGCATGAGTACCCTTTTCTCATGGGCTGTGGGTAAATGCTGCATCCCCCTATGCACTTCATGAATTACAGGGGAAAAAACAAAGTCTAATATATCAAAAATATATCTTCACCATAGCCTTATAAAGAGAATTTCAGCCCGAGACCAAGGCATCTCCTCAATCCCCTCCTAACTAGAATTTGACTCCTTCATTACTGACCTCAGTGTCCCATACTGTTTTCCTTATAAAGGAAATGTTTTCACCCTTTCCTTTCCCTGATTTGGGAGAGAATTGGTGTTCATAGGTTCATTTGTTAACAAGCTTTATCAATTGAAACTTGAAGTTTTTATAGTGTTCTTCAGCGCTGAAAGGTTGATCTCATCTAGGCTGTGTGTGGGGGAGAGCGCTGACTGTATGTCTTGCTGCTGGTCACGTAGTCTCCACTGACACCATGCGAGCCGTGCTGGCTGCCAGCTC